ACTACTTGTTAACTTGCCTATCTCTACACTATTATCTATATTAGTAGCTCTCAAGCGGTGCTCCCAGTCGCCTTAAGGAATCATAGAGGCATAAATGGCATTAGGTGTCATAAATTCTTTGCAGAATAACAAAAACAATAATTAATTGAGGTGGTTATATAATCAGACCACCGATGTGTGTTAAATAGATTGTTGTTTTTGTTACACTGTCACAATGCTTAATCATTAAATAATAATACATTTTAGATCCTCTTTTTTTTTTCCCTCCCAGCCATGACACAGACAAAGCAGATATCATTAGAATAACTACATGGATACAGTTACAATTACAATACAGTTATATTAACAATAAAGTTACAACAGTTAATTATATTTTAACACACTTGATAATGTGTTGACGCTATGATAAAATTAACAGAAACTCTGCAAATCACTGTTTTTAAAAAAACATCAAAACATCCATCAAAATATCTGTTACCAGCAATGTATGAAACGCATGCATTCTACAGAATAATTAAGCATTTTATAGAATGTCTGGTGTTTTTAGGGAAAGTATGAGAATTATTACATGCTTTATCTAGGCATTGTGAATTATTATAAACTTTATCTACGCATTGTGAATTTTTATGAATTTTATCTAGGCATTGTGAATTATTGTAAACTTTATTTAGGCATTGTGAATTATTATAAACTTTATCTACGCACTGTGAATTATTATAAATTTTATCTACGCATTGTGAATTATTATAAATTTTATCTAGGCATTGTGAATTATTATAAACTTTATCTAGGCATTGTGAATTATTACAAACTTTATCTAGACATTGTGAATTATTACAAACTTTATCTAGGCATTGTGAATTATTATAAACTTTATCTAGGCCTTGTGAATTAATATAAACTTTATCTAGGCATTGTGAATTATTATAAACTTTATCTAGGCATTGTATATAATACCTAGGTATTCTATAGAATGAAAATTCGCTTTAGGCAAAGTATGAAAAAAGGTTATGATCAGGCTATTATTTAAAAGATGTTCATTCCTCAAAAATACAAATGTTGCTTTGAAAACGTAAAGAAACATTGCCATTAAAACACTTTTATTAAAAATATGTAAGTCTTGGTACACTATAATAAACTTCTTTTATATATCCCAGCGGTTCTCAACCTTTTGACTAACGCGTACCATCTTAACAAGAACTGAAAACCTTTTAGTACCACCACTACAAAGTTCTACTACCACCACCACTCTTGAACAAAGCTCAAATAGCATAAATTTACGACTATTTAGAGAACAAACTCAATCAGGATGCTGGGGTTTTAATTTTTGAATTTAATAATTAAAAGTACTTTGCTTCTTTGCTTACCACCTATTTTTATCTTACGTACCGCCCGTTGAGAACCCTTGCTCTATCCGGCTAACACTAGAAATCAATAAGATCTAACCGGTAACGGAAAATAAATTCAGAAAAAATCACAGGTTTCACAACAGACCCTTTTTGAAACATTTTTGATCTTTCTGACACGACTCACAGAGGTGGATGTACAGTTCAATATTATTACGTGTCGCGTTTTTGTATTTGGCTGAAAGCTCTTTCAGCATTCTGCTAGTCCTCCAAATGAGTTTTAAGAAGTACGTGAAATAACTCAGTGTCCTTGACGTAATACTATATAGCACTGATCTAACAGGACAAATGAGGACTTGCTTTAACAGGATAACTGAGTTTAATTTTGTTTACGACAAATATCACATCATAGCGATTCAGCAATCAATAGTCTCGTGGTTCCTTCTCAATGGTCATTTTGGCATTTATTAATTTCTGGTAAGTAGTGTTCGGTTATTGGAAACGAATCTGAGAGGTACTTCGTTTGCTGGTTTGTCATTCGAGATTCCATAGAATATCTAGACAACGTATCAAATGTTTAATCGTATCCATACATAATCGATAAGCTCGCTTGCATATGAAGCGAGTAATAAATAAAAAATAAATTAAATCGATGATCTCCCACGGGATTCAAAGGCCTTTTTAGAACTAAAATTCCTTCTGAAGTTAGATCTGCAGGAGAAAACCTTACTGAGTTGTCTTGCAAGAAAACCTGGGCACCATAGAACTAATTTAATTCTTAAATATCGCCGAAATATGAATAGTCCATGTGACACTTTATATGATTGCACAAAACAGGTTTTGTGAGAATTGTTAAGACAAAAAGCAGATCCTGAAAAAAAAAAAAAAAAAAAAAATATTTAACAGGAAATGAGGGAACTAGATCTAATTTGAGTCCAAGATCTCGAAAGTATGAAAAAAGAGTTACCTTACCTGCCACCTGCGATTTGTAAATATAAAATAAATTTGAAAGGATAGTGCCAGCGAAATTAATTTTAACTGTAATTAGTATATATATAATATTTAAGGAAAAACTGGTGCAAGTAATTTAACTGGAAAACTGGTGGTAATATTTAAATGAAAATGGAACAAATAAAATTAATAATAGAATATTAAAAAAGCCTTTATTGCAAAATTTCAAGTGCTTTTGCATCTTGTGCAGTTCCTAGTGGTGTGTCTATCAATCGTCATAGTCTGCAAAAGGACGAACACACAGGTTGCACCTCATAGTGTTTTAGATCCCCCTTTCAGTAAAAGAGCCTTGTACTTTTTTTTCCACTTCCTTTCCTTAAGGAAAAAGAAAACTTTTCCAAAAGAAAACATATTTATATCTACACACTTTACAAAAATAAGTGAATAAAGAATTATTTTTAAAAAAATTTAAAATCTGAAAGGTTTCAGATTTTAAATTACATCCAAAGGGGCGCTTTCTTAACGCTTTATGTGTTACCTTTATTTATTAAATATCATGTACTTTCCACTTAAAAAATAAAATTCAGTTCAACAGCAATGTGGCAAAATAATTTTAAAATGAGAATATCTTTAGAATTTCCGATACACAGTTTCTCGCGCTGAAGATAAAAATGTTTTCTTCTGTAAAACGTTGCCATTTGGTCGCTTGGAAATCGTTGAGTTTGTTAATCAAAAATTCGTTTAAGTTTTAAAAAATATGAAATCGATAATAAAACAAATTCCAAATTAGAGCTACCAGATGCTCATATTCGGTGAAAGATTACGTTATTCAAAATTTGAGGGGTCTAGGTAGCGTTGTTTTTATCACAATGCGAGAAACATACATACATTTATGTAGATTCTTCATTATTTAAATTCTTTAAATATAATACAGGGCGATACTATATGGTGGCAACAATGTGAAAAGTGAAGCAACGCAGAAAGTGAATCAACCCAAAATGCCAAAATGAAATTAATAGTCCTTCTGGGCAAATTACCCTTTTGGACTAATAAACTTCAAAGGTTAATTTTAGTTAATAGTAAAATATTGTTACATAATTAAAATTTATCACAGACAAAGTTATGTTAAATAATTAACTGAAACCTAACTAATAGTTAATAATACCTTAAATTAAAATCTAGAAAAGGAATTTTCCTCTCTCTTAAAAGAAAACTCCAGCAGTTTTCTGGCCTTGAGTGTCTTGAATATTTATACTCCGTTTCTTTTGGCAGTTATCAAAGCATCGGATAAAGATTATATAATAAGTAAACAACCTTGATTCTTACTGATATTTATATACGTAAGTAAATGTCTTTTTAGATTCAAATGTAGTCGTACTTGCCGGAGAGAAGGAGGAAGAAGATTGTACTCGTAATTAGTCAGTCTGTTTTTGCTTTAAATTATAATAAATCAATCTTTTATTTTTGTTATAAATTAAAATATTAATAAGTCATGTTATAGAGTTTATTGCTTTATAACATAGCTCCTGTAATAACAGTATTATATTCATCATATCATTATTACGGGGAGGAAAAAAACTGGGAATGAGTGCGAAGCGAGAAAAAAAAAAAAAAAAAAAAAAAAAAAAAAAAAAAAAAAAAAAAAAAAAAAAAAAAAAAAAAAAAAAAGAAATAGCAACCTTTTTAGAGGAAAGAATTGTAGATAGAATATGTCATAGATCTTAGGTTTCATTTCTACATGACACGTTTTTTAACAATTTGTCGTTTCAATAAATAACACACACATGCTTTAGTTTTAAAAATAATCTTTTGAAATCCATGATAAATTCTGAGTAACTGCTTGTAATAAAAGTCCACTAACTGATAATGTTTTGGACTATGAATGCAGATTTTTTAAATATTCTCTTTATATCAAAAATTTTTATTTAATAATAAATACAACCACTGAAAGCCAATTGAAAAACAAACAATTGAAAAAAAAACTAACTTAAACGTGAAAAAGTTAAATGCCGAAGTACTGCCAAAACAAACAGGAATATTTTCTTATTTATTAACACCTCTTCTTTTTTAGATTGAACTATTTCTTATTTACTTCTTTTTTATTACTTATCTATATTTATTAAATATAATAATAGTTGATGTATTACATAATTTCATCACATTTCACAAAGGGTATTTTTTCTTTTGCTTTCTTTTAAAAAACTGTGGTATAAATGCTATATTATTCTTTAATTTACGTAGTCATTATACTTCTAATCTCAGCCAGATTTATTAAAAGGAAACTTGTTTTTCTAATTTTTATTTGAAAATCGTTTGGCGCTATTTACTTGCTAATCATCTTTAAAAAATAAATTATTTATCAAAATATGTATGACTTTATGAATCAAAAGTAAAAGACTCAAAGTCTGTTCATGATTTGATTAATTAAATACGCTCGAGACACATTCAGTGATATCGAAAGATTTATTGCTATGAAGCCAACGTTCTCGCCGCTAAACGAACTGCGCTGTAATGACATTTATTTTTTTCTTTTCATCCTGTATAAACTACCACAACGGAATGAAATCCGCTAGGTAGCGCCACTATTCAGTTGGTTGATAGACTCCGCCTCTCAGCTGTATCATCCAATCAAACACCGATGAGATCTCTCACTGTGAACAAATGGATCTCGCGACTGACTAGCCAATAGAAGTCTCGTATTACCGTTTCCAATAACATTCTTAGCCTCTGTAATTAGCTTATCAAAATGCCGGCCCACCATTGCGCCAAATTTGGCGCAGAACATCTCGCAGTCGCGGATCGGGCGAACGCTTTTGGTAATTGAGCTCGTAAAAAACATAAAAAATACGTAACAGCCTTACTGCGATAAAAGAAGCTTCTCCTTGGCGCCCGTAATTGGGGTGGTCTGCTGTCGTCTGCACTAGTCGTTCCTCACTCACGTGCGTGGAACTCGATCACCATCATCATTGCTTTTGTTTTTATTTATTTTCCACTTCATAAACAACAGGCCTTTTTTGATATTCCTTCAACAGTTGTTAATTTCTCAACAGAAGAAAGAAAGGCGGATTTGAAAAATATATTCATAATTTCAAAATTTAGAATCTCTCAAATCTGGGTATTTTACGTGAAATCAGAGACTGAAGAACTATGTGTTCTATAAAGAAATGCAATTCATAGGGACAAAAGAATTAGGTAGAATTTTTCAAAACTACTTGTTTGCTTTGCAGTTGCTTATCACAGCAAGGAAAGAGAGTTGAAAATGTGAAATTTTGAATTCTGAATGTCTTTGAAATGCTCCTTATCGTGTGCCATATCACATATAAAATGATTGTTTCGGTGGAAGACATAAATATTAATTGAGTGATTTTTCAACTCAGTTTGTTTTGGATTTTATTTTATCAGGTAACGAACCATAAGGTTGTTTCGATCGCCAGGAAGTAATAGTTTGGCGTGTGATGATACAACAGACATATCGAGCTATCCAGGATATCTGTTGATAAAACTTCTTAGTGAATTAAACAATAAGGCCTATTAAGACTTTCATCTCCACAGCATGATGCCTTTGGCACCACTACCTGTGGTACCTGTTCCTTCTAAACCAAAGATGGGCTTCAGCATTGAAGCACTGGTGGGCAAAGAACGTGATCATCATCACAGTGGTCGATCTCCACCACCACCAAGGTCCGGCTCGAGTCCAGGAGAGGACCTCAGTAATGGTCGGACTTTTAGCACCAGTCCTAGACAGCGGGCTGACCCTCCAGTTGCCCCCGTGCCAACTTTCCCGAACGGCGGCGTGCCTTCTAGCTTGAGCGGAAGCGGCAACCTCGCGGCGGCGGCGGCGAATGCCGCCTTTTTGGACTCCATATGCGGAAGCCGGACGGCTAGTGTGCTTTACCCGCCGCACCACCACCAGCACGAACACGCTGGGGGGTACACGGGAATGCCGGGCTCTTGCTCCCCCCACGTGTCGCCCTTTTTCTTGGGAAGAGAAACTTACCCCTTGTACCCGTGGCTGCTAGCGAGGCATCCGAGGTTCCTTGCACACCGGTTACCTGGTGAGTAAATTATACTTTTTTATTTAAATGAAATTAGAGTTTTCTTGAAATGTTAGAAAATCTGGTTCTGAAAGAGGCAGAAAATTGTTTACAATATACCACATCACAGAATAATGTTCTGAATGTACAACTGTTTAGGCTAAATGATTTCTAGTTAATGCAAATGTTAAGTTGCAAAATTTCAAATCTCTCAAAGTTAGGATATAAAATTTGAGGTGCATCAGTACAAATGTGTAAAAGTTTAATACTTCAGATAAAAATCATTCACTTATGTTCACTTGTAATTAAGAAAGGAATAAATAAATAATAAGTAATAAACTGAAAGTTTAATTAATTATAAAAATCCCAAAGGTTTAAAAGAATATAAGAGATTTAATTTCAGGGAGCAGCTCTGTTATTTCTCACACAAGGAAAGAAAAGGCAGAGTTCAAGAAACTTTTATCTGTTCCCATTTACATAATGTAAATTTTCATATTCGACACGCTTCCATGTATTGATATACATGGATTATTATTACATATTGATCAAACTGATTGTTAGCATTCAATCCCCTTTGTAGTGATTCAAGCTACCAACAAAAACTGGAATTACCTTTTAAAAGAAATAATAATAGTTATCACTATAACACCTAATTGCAAGTAAAGAAAAATTAAGTCAATTTCTTATGATAGAAAATCATTAGATACCACTATTAGGTATTTTCTCTGCACAGGATTCATTCTAGAGGAGAGGCGGCATGAAAAGTAGAAGAGTTAGAATAATAACTTGATTTTTGAAAGAGTAATGTAGCCCACCAGCGGCCGAGCGGTAAAGTCGCTGAACACTGGTAGTTCGATCCGAGGTTCGAATCTCGCGAACGGGCTGGCTGCATCGGCGTTTTCGTGGTTTTCCCCATGTGTAACGTGTATACGAGTCAGTTCCCTTAGAAAGTCCTCCGCGAAGGCATCCCTTCCCTTAGGCAGATAGCCCTAGTGTGCTTTGCCATAATCAAATAAACCAAACCGAAAGAGTAAATCTTTAAAATCTTTAATAAGTGATATTCCAAGTTTTATAGACAAAATCGCTAGTTTCTTTTCTTTATGCTGTAATGTCAAAGGCCACAATGGAAGGAAATGCAAAGTATCAACGTATTTAAATTTATTTCAACAGCCTACTTAACCTTTTCAAACTACTGAAGCGGTACTGCTTAAAAAAAATCTGATGTGAGTGAAAATAATTTTAAATAGCATTTTATATAGTAGTAAATTTAGTGATTAAGGTGTTAGTCATTTACAAATATAAAGCTTTCGTATAAAATTTAGGTTTCCAAAATTTTGAGTGGTACTGTTCTGCCATCAGGACCGGATCCAGAAATTCATGTAGATATGTAAACACGAATGTATGCGTGTGTATACATACACACCTATATGCACATACATACGTACACACGCTTATACATTCATAGATTTCTGAGTCCGGTCTCGGTAGCAGAACAGTAGCCTTTGAGTTTTGAAATATTTGAGTTTCAAAATTTTGAACTTAATGGACATTTATCATTATTATTATGGATTGGAAATAAAAGCAATAATTTAAAATTTTTCTGATCGGGTAAATAATGAAAATTATCTAAAAACGAAATACAAATTTAATTGATTTATTAAAGGAATGGTTTTGTCAAGTCAAAAAAATCACCCATTATTAGTTTGAAACTGAGGGTGTTTGTTATTTTATTCTTGTGTTTGAAAGTCTTTATATATCGCATATCAATAAATTTTTATTTGCACAACATTTATTCTTCTGCCACTGTCGAAATCTGAATGAAATTCATGCAATTTCTATCTGTATAAAAGTATTTATCTTCCAACAAAAATCTTTTAAACATATATTTTAAAAAAGTATTTAATCATTTTAGTTTGAAAAATAGAATATTACTTTTTATCTCTATAAAAAATGGTTAAAATTATAAGTGCTCGAAAACTATTAAAAATGTTCAAGCAAATACGTTGATTTTTTTTTAAATTTATAATTGTCTTAAGCTACATAAGATTCCAAATTTTGTAAATAGATTTCCATTTTTTAAGAAATCTTCAATTATTTCAAACAAATTATAAACTAATAAATCTGTCTTCCAAATTTATAATTTGTTTTCTATTGTTCGTACATAAAACTTACAATTCTAGCATTTGCGTTTTAGAAGACTAATTTGACTTCATTTGAAATTTAAAAATCAAAATCGTATATCTAGTACTATAAAATTATGGTTTATTCCTCAAATTGCCGATTCCCTGAAAAAAAAAAGGGGGAAAGCTTTTTATTCATTTATTTACTTTTATGGGTATACATCATTTGCTGAATGGCTGGAATGCAGCTGAAACTGAATGATAAGTAAGAAATTTTGTCAAAATGTGCAGAAAAACAAACTGCAATTCCACGCATCAGAGCTTATGGGATAAAAAAGTCCAAAAGAGATTTTTTCCCCTGCGAGGCGGCATAAATATACCTACAATAGATTTATGCAAATAATTTCTAAATCACATATTTAAATTTAAGTTCTAACGTGTGCTCCATGAGCTGTTTTCGGAGCAAGAACTGAAGATAGATGAAGAGATAAACTAGAAGAAAAAGAACGATTTTTGCATCTTCATTTCGAAGGCGGAACTTTTAATTTATATTCAGAAGTTGGGTGCTCAAAATTTGCTATCCAGTTTCTGTTCAGAAATTGTACGTTCAAAATATGTTTTATACGTTTTGTTCAGAAGCTATCTGTTCAAAATGTATTTTATAGTTTCTATTTAGAAACTTCAAGTTCAACATATGCTTTTATTTCGAAATAGAACTTTAAAATTGACGCGATTAATAAATACACCTCAATATAATTGAACAGGTAAATATTCAAAGCTTATGTAATATTATCAGTTTACTTTCAGAAGTCTTCGTAAAAGAGAATTTGAAAATTATAATTATTACTTAAAAACATGCAGAAATTTAAGGGATCCATTAAAGATTTTCATATTATCATTATTTTTAGATGTGGTATTTCGAGTTTCGGAAGTCTAAGTACTTTGCACTTTTACGAAATATACTTTAAACGGGCTTGATTACAACCCAGGTTTATATAGTCCAGATTTCGATTTACAGTCCCAGATTTCGATGAGGTTTCACTAATCTACAGGTACCAGATTTCCCGCTGGTGCCACGACTTGCAATTCTTATTAAACTTATTTTCGAAATATAAAAGTAAGGAATGGGGTACTGAGTTTCCCAGAAGAATATTATGTTTAGAGCTGTCTCTGTCTTATTTGGGTTTTGGATCAGAGTGGACATGTAAAAATTTCATAGCATAAAAGCAATTTTAGGTTAGATCTCGGAATTGCAGGTTTAATTTGCAGTTTAATGTGTCATTCTTTTCCCGCTATATTTTAAATATGAAATGTGGAGTATTCTTGAAATGTACGAAGTAAGGAACTTTTAACTCAAAGAATAAAAATTGTATTTGTTTAATGCACCTGGAAATGAGACTTTGAGGAACCTAGAAAGGCGACCTCTTAAACCCTTATTTCACAACTTAGACTAGAAAAGGAAGATATTCTTACTTAGCTATGGGAACGAAAAGAATTCATATCAAAATCTATCAGCGTTTCTGTGCAATGTGGGATAATCTGAACCTGTCAAATAAATGTTCTTCTCATTACTGCATTCAAACAACTTAGGACTCGGATAACTGATATGAATTAAGAAATTTTTTGCACCATCATATCACTTTCCTTGTAAAAAAAAATTGAATTCCAGAAGCTTTTATATCGGAGAGAGTTGAAAATGTAAGAACTGAGTACCTAAAAAAAAAAAAAAAAAAAAAAAAAAAAAAAAAAAAGAAAAGACTTCTAAAAAAGATTCACCTATTAAAAGAACGAAACGAAAGGCGTAAGAAAACTAGAATATAATTGCTGTGGATTCACGGTTAAATTCAGAAAAAATCTTTAAAATTTTATTTATGATTTTTTTTTATTTATGTGTAAATTAAGTACTCATATTGACCACCATCTGGTACATCTTTCTTTAAACGGGAAGCTTCTTAACAAGCTGATTGCTGTCAAGCTTAACGGAAATTTATAAAGTAGGTGGAATTTTAAACATAAAGCTAAGTACATACGTATTTAAAGAGTTTTTGAAACAAAACTGAAAGTCTAGAGAAATTGTCTTTAATTATGTTTCCTTTCTTCTAGAATTTAGAATGGAAAACTGATTAGCTATAAACTTAATTTCTCTAACGTATTATATTATAAAATCAAATAATGGCAATCACGATTAAATTTGGAATTTAAAATATAAATCGCAAACTTAACATCAGACACAAAATTGTATATTTTGAAGAAATTTCTGCGCCTATTGATTTCTCTAAATTTGTTGTTGCCCTTTAAAATTAATTTATATATTTTCTTGCTAAGAAAGTTATGTTAAATAGTCATCGAAACGGATAGCGTTTTATTTAAAATGGAAGATTGCTTTATCCTTGAATTGCTTAAATCAAGAAAGTTCTATAGCTAAATTTCCGAGGTGAGATATCCTTACCTAAATGCCTCGTCTTGGAAGTAGATATAATGGTAAATAATAGAGAATATGCTCATTTTAATGCAATCAAGAGTTTAGCTAGTATATTTGCAACATGCAAGTATACCGTTCTCAGCTCATTGCATTTAACATGTTATTTCTTCTTAATAGCATAGAAGATTACTTCTATGTTGAGTCACCGAAGGAGTGAAAATAACGGAAATGACCTCAAAGTTAAACATTTTAATTAAACGTCATTGGTTTAAAAAAAAGAGAGTGTTAATGGCAGTGTGTTCTCTAATTTTGTTTGAAGGTAATGTGACAATTAATAACAATCTGGTTTAATATCGCAGGGGGGGGAAGAGGGAAGGAAACGTTTGGTCCCTACAGTTCTGCTCACGAGTGTCTAATACTTTAGAGAATCTCTGTTGTACACTTGCTTAGCGATTCACTGCTTTGAGTCAAAATTCCAA